TATTTCTGTAAACTGGCTTCTGTTTTGTTTTAAAGTCTCCAGGGAAAGGGGAAGATGAGTTAGAAAAATTGTCACTTTAGGTAAGATATGTGATTTGCTTCCCTTATGACATTGTGTTAGTCCCTTTTTCATATTAATAACATACTTTGGCAAATGCGTTTGTATGGCATAATCCATTTATAAGGCAGAAATTCTTTCTGCTATTTTTTTTAAAAAGACCTTACCGGAAAAAGCTCGGGAAAATTAATGCTCATAGCAAAGTTAAATTTAAAAAACGGTTTCCTAAATTGTACCAGGCAAAAGTCATGCGTGTAATTTGTGCTATGTTAAAATGTACTTAAAGATACAAACAAGATATTACTGGTGCTGTTAAGTTTTTAGTTCTTAGTTTCTGTTGGCCAGTACATGGGAGGCTATCTTCTACCTGTCGTTTTTAAAATACCAATTTTACGCAAGATAACATGTAATTTTTTCCGCTGTTTCCACATACACTGGTTCTTACCATGCTTAAATAAGCGTTTTCGTTAATGGTTTCCTTCCAGTGGCATCATTGAATGGTTCACGTTGGCTTATTTGGCCTTATTTCATTTGCTATCTCATTGTATGGGCATACTTACTTGTTTATGTTATCAGCCAGACTTGACGTGATAATAACTTGGAACTTTATTCTGGATAGCTTTTCATGAGAGCTGGGCTTTTGCAAGTGGTTGTTTGCCAGTGGCAGCGGTTCGGAATCAGCTTTGCAAACCAAGCCCTGGTTTTTTTGGTTAAAGTGGAGCAAAACAACTGAGCATGTTTTTTTCTTTTTTTTAAACTATTTTTCCTTAGTGAACAATTATGCTAGCTCATTTGTTATCTTAAAAAAGTTTTTTCTTGTACATCTTATTCTTTTACATGTGTTCCAAGCAAAATTACATGGTTTACATCTCTCAATAAACAACGTGTGGACACTAACACAGTTAGCGGTCGGAATTATGAAGAGTTGAGACTCATTTCAACCTTATTGCTCGAGGGATGATTGCATAAGGCTAGCTATATTTCAGGAGAAACTGGGTATACATCTTTGGCTAGTTCATTATACATGATAGTCTATAAATTACAGTATTGTAGATTTTATACCCAGAGATACAAAGAGGCTTCATAGATTTACCCATGCTATTATTCATGGCTATAAACTTATTAGAAATTGCCAGTTACAAAAAATAAAAAAAACAACAGTACTGGCTGGGTGCAGTGGTCACACCTGTAATCCCAGCACTTTAGAAAGCCGAGGCAGGAGGATCACTTGTGAGATCAGGAGTTTGAGACTAGCCTGGGCAACGTAGCGGAAACCCGAATTACCAAAAACAAAAAATTTTTTTTTAATTAGCTAAACCTTGTGGCACACACCTGTAGTTCCATCTACTTGGAGGGCTGAGGAGGGAGGGCTTGCTGAGCCCAGAAATTCAAGGCTGCTGTCAGCTATGATCACCATGGCACTCCGCATGAATGACAGAGCAAGATCCTGTCTCTTTAAATTTGTTTAAGTATTTTTTTGCTTAATCAAATAAATGATACTTTTAAAATGAGTGAATTAATATTTTAATTAATAAATATATATGAACAGTTGACTCCTGAACAACATGGGGTTTAGGGGAACCAACTCCCCCACACTGTCAAAATCTGCATATAACTTCTGGCTCACCTAAAACTTAACTACTAATAGTTAAGTTGACCAAATAGTTACTGTTGACCAAATACTTTACTGATAACATAATCATATTTTGTATGTTATTCGTATTATATATTGTGTTCTTAGAATAAGCTAGTGAAAAGAAAAGGTTATTAAGAAAATTATAAGGAAGATAAAATATATTTGCTATTCATTAATTGGAAGTAGATCATCATAAATGTCTCCATCCTCATTGTCTCCACATTGAGTAGACTGAAGAGGAGGGGTTGGTTTTGCTGTCTCAGGAATGACAGAAGTGGGAGAAAACCCACATATAAGTGGACCCATGCAGTTCAAACCCATGCTGTTCAAGGGTCACCTGTACATATAAACTTGTATATGTAAACATACACATGTGTAAACAAAGGCAACAAACATTTATCAAGTCGGCACAATATGCTAGTACTGCCCTGTGGCCTAGGTGTTACTAAGGCACAGAGAGGTTAAGTAACTTGTCTTAGTGTGCACAGCTTGTAGGTAGTAGGACTGTAATTAAAACTCAGACATTTCAGCATTTGGGACCATCTTCTTCACCTTCCTCTTCAGCCTCTAGAAAGCTGAAATCACTGAAACTTTTTCTTCCAAAAAAGAAGTATGTAAAAAAAAAAATAAATAAAACAACAAAAAAGAGAAAAGGATCTTCCAGAGTATGTCATAGGGTGGTACTCAGCATTGAATGTTGCCTATGTTATGGGTAAGAGAACATTTTATTCTAGAGATTTAATAATCTACAGAAAAAATAAATCAGGGACTACATGTAAGTGACAACTCATTTTTTTCCTAGAAAATAAACCTTAAATTTGTAATTCATGGGCTTCTCTGCTTCTCTTGTAAGGTAAAAATTGTAATTTTTGACTGTTTTTTAATAGTCTTACATTTATGTTCAGATTTCTAAAATACAAAATAGTCAAAGACTGCAATTTAAAACTTGGCTGTGCTCTATTTTAAGTATAGGACTTTAGCTTCAATTTCCCTGAATTTAAAGTTTATTCTTTATTACCATTACCACAGTGTTATAATAAAGAATCTGTACAATATTCAATACAAATACAGTACAATATAGTCCTCATATTTATTGTATTCCCACTATATGCCGTCATCTGTGTATTAGCTACTGAGCACACTATAATGAAGACTGAGTTTCTTTTTTTTTTTTTTTTTTTTTTGAGACTGAGTCTGGCTCTGTCGCCCAGGCTGGAGTGCAGTGGCCGGATCTCAGCTCACTGCAAGCTCCGCCTCCCGGGTTTACGCCATTCTCCTGCCTCAGCCTCCCGAGTAGCTGGGACCACAGGCGCCCGCCACTTCGCCCGGCTAGTTTTTTGTATTTTTTAGTAGAGATGGGGTTTCACCGTGTTAGCCAGGAGGTCTCGATCTCCTGACTTCATGATCCGCCCGTCTCGGCCTCCCAAAGTGCTGGGATTACAGGCTTGAGCCACCGCGCCCGGCCGAAGACTGAGTTTCTAACCTTTCAAAGCTCACAGTTTGGGAGCTTTGGAATGGCAAAATTATTGAGTCTTGGAAAAATTTAATTAAATTTTTTTTGGCTGCATGTGATAGACTATATGCCTGTAATCCAAATATTTTGAGAGGCTGAGGCAGAAGGATCACTTGAGGCCAGGAATTTGAGACCAGTCTGGGCAACATAGCCAAACCCTGTCTCTATAAAAAAATTTTAAAATTAGCTGGGTGTAGTAGTGTGCACCTATAGTCCTAGCTACTCAGGAGGCTGAGGCAGGCGAATCACTTGAGCCCAGGAGTTGGAGGCTGCAGTGAGCTATGATCATGCCACTGTACTCCAGCCTGTGTGACAGAGTGAGACCCTGTTTCCTTAAAAAAAAAAAAAATTTAAAGGTTGAAATTTTTTTTGTTGACATACACAGAATTTTTTGTCCTATTGTTAGCCAGCATAATTTTCTGAAGGTAATATAGTGTTTTGTTTGTTTTCTTAGCAAATACAAAACATCATCGGGAACTTTAAAAAATATTTGAGAAGCTAAAAATATTTCAGTCATCTATTAAATTACATGACATATTTTAGAGAGAGTCCAGGTGTTTAGAGTTGTTGTAATTGTTAATTATATTCATAGGAAATTAAACTCATAATTTCTATCTTTTTTTCAGGTAAAGAGCATGGTGCACCATTTATACTTTAATGATAAACTTGATGCTCCAAGGAAAAGTCGTTTTCCAGAACGTTTCATGGATGACATTGCAGCTCTTGTCAGCACGATTGCTAGTGATATAGTTTCACGATTTCAGAAGGTAATAACTTTTTCCCCACTTATCTCTCTTTCAAGCTCAGATTAAACTATCATACTTTAATTTGTTTTTGTTTTATATTCTGTTTCACAGGACACAGAAATGGTTGAGAGACTCAATACAAGCCTTGCATTCTTTCTCAATGATCTGTTGTCTGTTATGGACAGAGGATTTGTTTTTAGCCTTATAAAGTCCTGCTATAAACAGGTAATCCGTAGTTAGGAATAATTAGTAATCAAATAATTTAAATACTATGTTCTTTTCAGAGTTAGAGCTAAGAGACCTTAAGAGCACATTTATATACTGATGTTGAAACAAAAAGTAGCCTAAAGTAACATGTATTTACTAGCAAGGCAAAAATAAATTACACTTGTTTTATCAGGACACAAGGACTGTGGCAAGCTGTTATCAGTACAGCCAGTATTTCCTTGAGTTATACTGGCCTACTCGTGACTCTTTAATCCCATTCTGGATCATACCATCAAGTCAGTAGTAATGTAAAGCAGTCTCAAGATGTCATGCAAGTGGAGCATTTATACCGACTGGACTTTTGTATCTTGAGTGATTTTTAAAGCAACTGCATTTTGCTGGGTATTCCTCCTAATCCAGCCCTGGATGTTGTAGAGTTTGGAATTATGGACAGATGTTTACGCATTTGCCAAATGTTGTTCATTATCTTGACTTTACTAAATTAAAAGCATCCTGGAACTTTTCCACACATAGCTGATTTTGTTTTAAAATTTTTATCAACTGATTAGTGAAGTCTGCCTTCTAGAAAACATTAATTATTGGTTCTGCTAGGCCACTTTGGTAGTAAACTATATAAGCCTTTTAGAATTACCTTTTAAAGGAGCTTTAAACATACACATATTTCTGAGTCCCTTCCCAGAATTATTGAGAAGTTCAAACTTTTCATGGTGGTGAGGAGCACACAGTGCTTGTGAAGCACCTCACAACTGGTCTACAGATTAGTTTTGGGGAACTAATAGTCCAGAATTCTATTTGGCAGTCTAATATTTAGAATTTTGAATATTCTATTGGATGCCTTTATTGTTTATCTCCTTCTTTTTTTTTTTTTTTTTTGTTTTGTTTTTTTTTGAGATGGAGTCTCGCCTGTCTGTCT